ATACACATAAAAAATTTAGAAACCTCTTTACAATCCCTTTAAGGCATAAAGTTTACTCAAAATTTCTATGCTTCGAATTGTGGACTGGCCAGATTCAATATCTAATTTTTGGAAAGTGTTACAGATAGCTGAAATTGAGCTTTATCTATCAGCTGGTAAATAATTAGATGACTATGTTAGACAACAATGATTATATTTGTAAATAGCTAAATAGATATTTTGATCTAAATTGCGAACTGATTGTATAAATGTTGTTTATTTATTAATTTGTTTGTTTATTTGTTTATTTATTGATATTTATTGTAAATAAACGTTACCATAGTAAATATATGAATAAATTAATAAGTGTTTCATTTGACAAATGAGCAAATTCAAAGAAAGATTCGACACCTAGTCACATAGTGGTAGCAGGTGTTCCTGAGGTGGTACCATGCCCCCTACCCCCTGCCCCAGTAGCTACATCTATGACACATGACACAGTACGTGCATGGTTGAAATTGAAAACTCGAAACATGATGCATTTCTATTAGCTCCCGTAGAAACCCCATAGAAGAAAGCCAAATAAAATTACCTTTTGGACTCTGTGTGCAATTACAACGTGTGACATCTTTTACATCTGGTGCCCCATTATCTTGCCCATTCACCAATATCATTTTAAGCTAATAATTCAGTTGAATTCTTCATATTTTCATATATTTTCTCGAAGTTCCAATTTTTTGTTTGTTTACAAACATTAAACCGGAAGCACATGGCCATGAGGCTATTCACGCCTTTAACGTTAGAGAGCATGGAAAGAATTTGACTTCAGACAACAACTAATTTCCTAGACCCCCCTACCTACGCTGTTAAACATTCTTTCTGACTTTTTTGTGATGTTCTAATAATTTTCTTTTCAACCACAAGGTCCACATGGACCTTTTTACCAGGGGCATGTGTAGGAACCTTTAGTTGAGAGACCGACAGGGGCGACAAACTTTCCAGGGCGAGGAGGGGTAATAGGCATTTAGGCCTACTATGTGAAATGATAAACAAAAAATTGAAAGAAGGTAGCCCTCTTTGTGGGGCTCATCTGCCAACCCCAACCCCTCAGACCCCCCACCCCTCGACCCGTACCCATCAGCAGATACGTCACTGCTTTTTACCAGGGGAAATAAACCCTTTCAAATATTTACACTAATACCTAATGCACTTAACTTTTGATCAAAAAAACTGAAGGTAGATTTCTGAACAAGTTTTTATAATTTAAATACGAGAGCAAGACGAGCTACATAAAAACAACAAATGAAAAGTAAACAACATAAAACAAGCCATTGTCACGTTCTGATATAATCCCATTGGTCAGCCGGCCATTTTCTTTGGTCCATGACAAAGGTGACCATAATTTCTGAGTCAAATTGTCACTATGGATGATTTTTTGGAATTTCTTTTGGCCTACGGAGTAACGATTTTTATGGTCAGTTCAGTATACGGCAGCGGTAAGAAGTTTCGACTTAAAGGGATTGTGAGGCGGTTTTCTAAATTTTACATGTGTACCGGAGACACTGATATCATCAATTTAAACCATTCCAAATTTCAGTCAGACGTCTGTGGTTCCTGCAATTCCACTAAAACTAAGCATTTCTGTAATAACAGGAACCACAGACATCGGCCGCTAGCCCGAACATCTGTCTCTATTACAGCCTCTGATAGCTATTTTGTCATTTGTCGCCTGGTGTAGGGTCAGCAAAACTACAAAGACGCAAAGAGCACCGACGCCAGGCACCATTACTTTTGGTGTTTTCGATTAACGGGCGATTTCGTTTCGTTTTAGGTCTCGGACATTCTGCTTGTGTCGATCACCATAGAGCGAACAACTTGGAAAAATGTCTGGCGGCTCTCAGACAAGTCGCAGACGACAGAACTCTGTTTTGGTTCGGAGAGAAGTACACTACTTCCTGCAATGGGGCCAACGCCTTTGATGCCGACTGTTATAATCCTAGTTCCAAGTCGGCGGATAGTTTGGTCTCCAGGGCGTTCCAGGAAGCGGATACTGGTTTAATTGATACATTTTTGGAAGTTAGCTACCGGCAAGTTCCTGGTTTGTGATTTTTAATATTCTTAGGACATCCCCATGGGAACAGGTTGAACCTTGTCCACGGGCCTCCACCCCACCTCCAACTGTTAACCTGTCATCTACCAACCAACCGTACTTGCATTTCTTTCAGGATCTTATTTTGGTTGTGGAAACGATTTCGAAGTCCACGAAAGCAACACAATCGATGTGGACCCTCTATCTGTAGAAGTGTACCGGCCGTGGCAGCTACGTGATGAACCTGTGTACAGTTGGCGATCCTCGGACGGCGACTACTATACCTTCATCTTCTTTGATGTCGGCTTCATGCACATCAAGTCTGTCATTATCAATATTCCTGGTGATGACGTCACAGCCGGCGAGGTAGGTTCCTTATTTCCAGACTGGCCGTTGGGATTTTGAATAGTGCTTATAAATGCTGATGTCATAGAGTCGTTCCCATGGACCCCAAATTTTACATTTCAGACCATTTTGCCGTACGAAGGACCACTGAATCCCACCAGAAATAAGAATCCCTACATGTTCATCTTATACCGGCAGTCGGAGTACCTGGAGCTGGGATCCAAATGGAGGAATATCCTACATAGAAGATCGGCCAATATCAACCTATCGGAGTTTGCTACAGAGAAGAACCTTACTGGTACGTACATAAAAGAATATGTTATTTTTTGATTGACAATGTTTTGACTTATTTGATTGACATGTTTTGACTTATTTGATTGACATGTTTCGACTTATTTGATTGGCATATTTTAACTTATTTGATTGACATGTTTTGACTTATTTGATAGACATGTTATGACACTTATTTGATTGCCATGTTTTGACACTTATTTGATTGCCATGTTTTGACTTATTTGATTGACTTGTTTTGACTTATTTAAGATAATATGTCGTCTATTGTACGACAATCTATAATATTACAATTCCGTTTCTTTCTTTCGAATAGGTATATCAATGCTAAGTGATTGAGTACTTCATGATGAAAAGTGGTATCAGGTGTCTAAAAGAGTAAGCATAGTATTCCTAACTTCTTTTCATCATTTCTTATTTCAGGACCGGTTGCGATCAATTGGATCTTGGTGAAAGGAGATGCTTATGCTGCTGAAATAAAACGACGAACTGGTTATATGAACACGTGTCCACATTTCGTTAATGATGGTAGGTAACCTTTGGTTTCATTTCAATCTTGGCATTCTTTGCAATCCCCAATTTGGCGTATAAGACGAAGTTCGTTATAGCTTGAAATTAAAGATGGGGTTCTAGAGGATCCTTTCCACCAGCCGATCATGGTCCAAAGTTCCCATTTCATCATTTTCAGCTCTCACCGACCAGAAGTTGAATTTCCTACCAGAGAAGACCAGGCAACTAGACCTCAGTGTCTTCATGAATGTTACTTTGAAGGTTCCCCAAACCGCCTTTAATTCCTGTTGCGTCAACTATGAATATCCGTAAGTTTTCTAAACATCTTACTGGTACTAATCTTAGGATAAGGCGCATAGATACTGAGCTAGAAACAACATTAACCACGGCAAGTGCTTTTGAGTGATTGTCCATTCCACAAAAAGCCAGTTTTTGTTTCTGGCCTACAGCAAATGTATATTTTCCACATACCATCAGCTAGCGGCTAGATCCTTGTAGACCAAGACAGGGCCACAGTCCACGGACGCCTTGTGCGTTCAGGATTAGGCCGGAATAGGTGGGGAATTCTCCTGGCTGCTGGGTGACTTGGCCAGTGCTTTCGAGAGTCTTCAGTGTAGGCTTTCATTCACTAATTCAACGATACATTTATCTCTTCAGAGCAACAACATTAGCCCTGAATCCATTGGGTGATGGGAACGTGAAAGCTGTCTACGTCAGGACCGATGTTCAACCGGAAGTAGAATTGTCAATGGCCACAGCTTTCCCCAACCAGAAAAGAGACTTCAAAGGTTTGTGGTTTGCGGTTTTCTCCTCAAATAACATTACAAGGGGCTCGTGAGCTTAACTGGGTTGGGCACCTCCACAGGAACATATGCTCTGCTGCATTCTGATACCCATCTGTGGGTCAATTCTTTTTGTGGGGTAGGGCTTCCGTTCAATCAGCTCCTACGTAATTTGAGCTGGATTCGCGCCCTAAAACTTCACAAGAACAATTTCCGACAAGAATAAGCTCTTGAATATCGACACCAGTCGGGATTGGTCTTTGACTACATTGGTATCTCAAAAGATTCTTTTAACTTCCAGGTAAATTGTTGACGCTGATGGTACTGGACAGTGATTCACCATATCCAATGTTCGGCGACAAGAAGGAGCCCTTCCTACACTGGTTGGTGGTGAACATAGAGGAAGCCGATGTGTCCAACGGAGAGATCGTCAAGGAGTATGTTGGCCCGGCACCACCAAACCCCGAGCCCCATACCTACCATTACTTACTGTTTGAACAGACTGGACAGATCAATCCTGAAGAAATAGCAGCCTTCACAGCTATAAAATGCAGTTTTCCATTCAGAGGACGGTACGTTATAAATATGTTAGCTATTTGGGCGTGTCGGAAGCTGCTTCTTCGTCTTATACCTTGACACATGACAGCAATAGACACTTGTATGAACTTTCCTGAGACCCCCACCCATTGCTCAGCTTATCGTGTGGATACTCTATCGGCTCCTCCCGGGACCGCTTCCGGTGGTTCGACCCCTCAATCCACCCCTCCACACATAACATTGGTCTTCTTATGTCCTCTGGACTCAGAATTTTGGTCATGACATGAGTGTCGCATCATGATCTCTCAAAGGCTTTTCGAGTCGGTCTTCATTACGTCCTTGACTCCTTTATTTTTCTTGCAGGTGTCGTTTCAAGTCCAGAAATGTGATCGAAAAATACAACCTGAAGTTGATTGGAGCAACTTGGCACAAAACCGGAAATGACGAATATGTGAGACATGTGTACTCTGATTTCGGCCTGAGATATTGTGAAGTCTGCAAGGGAGCTGAAGGCTTCTCTATGCCGTGTTCCTCGGCCAACGCTTTTAGGTACACAACACTGGCTTTGCTACATACAATCGCCGTAGTGTGCTTTTTACATTTTATTCAGTAACTAAAGATGCGGTTTGCCTCGTTCACTCTTACAGAGTTGTCGTTCCTTGCAGTGTCTGTCCATGTCAAGGAACGACAACTCTGTGTACATGAAAAGAGAAATATGTGCTGGCTTATGTGACGTCATAACCTGGTCAAGTTCTATTAGGGATCCCAAGGACCACAGACGTCGAACAGGAAACTGGAATCCTGCTTTCGATTCATATTAAAGGAAAATTTGTACCAGCTTCATAATTACATGGTATTTGCGATAGTGACGTGATAATCTAATCAAGATTTATTAGGAATCCTAAGGACAACCGAAATCAAAAAGCTAATCAGCTAGGGCATGCTTACACTCAAAATTGTATAGTATTACCAATAAAATGATGGCGTAAAACTTCAATTCATTTTTATACGCCCACATCTCTCTATGTGGACGTATATTGTCGGCACCCCTGTCCGTCCGTCGGTCCGAACCCTGGACTTCTTGTGTTTTAGACGTACCATCTAATCAAATGAGCTACTGCGACTTCACACATATCTGAAGTTTTAAAACACCTATATGCACCAGAATCTAGTTTTAAATTGTGTTCAAAAACTATCTACTTACCCATTTTCATTTGGAGATTCGAACTTGCGGCTTCTAGCTCCTCAGCTGTACTGTCCACCCGACTGAGCTATTGCGACATCACAAATACGTCGATTTTTAAGACGCCTATATATAATAATTTACTGTATCAAATAGTATCAATCCTTAAAAGGTTTAAGATTTCGTGCTGTTGTTATTGGTTATGACGCTGATTCTTATTAAAATTAAATACAAATCAATAATCTTCAATAATAAACTAATAGAATTTATCCTTTTTACCGTTGATAATTATATTTGCGACACCAGGTCTATGTCCTTCAGATGTAAGATTTCGTGCTGTTGTTATTGGTTATGACGCTGATTCTTATTAAAATGAAATAAACACCAATTATCTTGAATGGAAACAGTTTTATTACATTACTAATGGCAATGTTTCTTTCTCTGGAATTTATTATATCACCTGAAGATTTTGGCAAAGTATATTTCAATATGAGAATATTTCTAATGCAAAAAAGATCAGAATTAAAAAGGCTATCCTGCTTAGAAATTTTGAATATGACACCATGATTGCAAAAATTCACTAAAAATCTGAACTAAAATTAAGTGAACATTTCGAGAGTATCTAAAAAATCATGAGCATATCAACATAATAGAATATGAGAATTTTTTTTTCTGTTTTTTTTGTAAACAAGCAAATTGCATATCTGTATTTTAAAAAATAAATATCAATGTGTAATCCTTACCTATATTATTAACATACAAAATAAACGCTAGAGAGGAGTCGTTACACCCAAAAAATTCGGTTTGAAATGCACTAATAGTATATTATCAATCAATTCTGAATAGCGAAAGGAAGATTAATAATTTTGAAGCGCAAAGGATTTTTATGTTAAATACGTCTTGGAAATTCTAAAAAGAAATACTATTAAAAGATTAAAAAATAATTTTTATATACAATATTTGGCATCACTGGGCAATCACATTTTATTCTTAAGATAAAACTATCATTGAATGATAAAATAATAAATAAAATCAGAGGGAAAATAAAAAAAAAATGGAGTGAAAATTTAAAGGGGAAAATGGAATAATTTGACAGAGGGAAGTAATATAAAACTAAGGGTAGAGAAAGGGTACAATTAAAGAAAAAAAAACTCGAGAGAAAATTATAAAAAATAAAATAGACATAGGAAATAAAATAATACAAAAAAAAAGTGAAAAAAATAAATCAAAGATTATGGACGGTTTGGAAAAGTTGTACACCCTACTTCTTTGAAAATAAAGTCTAAATAATATTATTGAAATCACGTTTCTTTTGTACAAAAATATCACAGAAGCTTAATCACAGAATACAATTAATATTTTCAAAAATATATATACAAAACCAATGCATGGAAAATTCATAATTAAAGTTGACTTCCCCATAGACTTTAGAAATTTATAAGTACATTACAAATACAAAAAAAAATATCCAAGAAATCACATGAGAGAAAATAATATTAATCAAACTGTTTATGGATGAACAACAGGCGTTGGTCGTACACTGTTGTATTTACCTGAAAAAAAAAGAAAATGTGATAAAAACCTACAGCTGAGAATCATTAAGGTTCATAAATAATATCACAAACCATGGTTCTATACAAGAGTGTTACAATAAACCTATGAGTTTAGGTTTGACATAGATATAAACCTTTATTGAAGGTATAGTGATAAAAACCTTCAATGTAGGTTTCAATGGAGGTTTCATAATGTTTTATGATATCGACCTATATGCTAGGCATTTAGATATAGTCCTTCAATCCATTCAGTCTGATATAAACCTTCATTATAAATAAAACCTTAAATGGCTTCCTGATATAAACCTTCATCCTTAGAAGTTTGATATTAACCTGTTATCAACCATTGATTTAAATAAATCTTGGGGAGAAATAAAACCTTTACTTGCCTTCAGAAACTTGGACTTGACTTGGTGAAGTTGCTCGACCTCCACTGAAAGAGTAAAGTAAAGTAAAGTAAAGTAGAGGTAAAGGTAATAGTAATAGAAGTAGAGGTAATAGTAAAAATAAAGTAGTAGTAATAGTAAAGTAAGAGTAAAGTGAAGGTAATATTAAAGGTAATATTAATAGTAACAGTAATGGTAATAGTAAAGTATTGGATTGCAATGGAAGAGGTCAATAAAGATCCTGGCGAACTTACTATGGATCTGGACCAGAGCTTCCACCATTCATACAACCAGTCCCTCCTCCGCCACAGTAACCACAACAACAGCGACAAATAGCAAAGAGCAGCAGGGCCAACAGCAAAGCACCAAGGACACTCAGGAGAGCAATGGCAGCAGGCGATTCCAAGAAGTTGTCAGTGTCGGTTGTTGTGGAATTACCTCCATTACCATTCAGGTTGTTGTTTGCATTGTTATTGTTGCCATTGGCATTGTTATTATTGTTGTTATTGTTATTATTGTCATTGTTATCGTCGTCGTTGTTATTAGGATCTTCAGTAGCTGGTGGTGGTGTGGGCGGTGGATCTACAAAAGTAAAGGGACAGTTCACAGGAAAATGGCCAGCCTTATGTTCATTAATATATTGAACTGATACCAGTTCCGCTGACCCCTATCTCATTGGCAGGAGGAGGGTGAAGCTAGGTCGTAAAAACCAGAAGCTCCAAACTACATGCAAGGATATAACCCAGCCTTCACGTAACATCGCTGATACACCGTGAATGCATTGGATAACTGAGCAATACAAGCCTCAGAAATTGCTTTCTTTTCTTTAAGAGATGAGACACACAAGTCTCAGTTGCCACTACACATATTGCAACTGAGTTTACGAGCCTCAGATATAGCTTTCATTTTGATTACTCAGTGTCTACCAGTCCTCAGCCTCTGAAGCCTCAGCAACCTACCTGTGTAAAGGACATCAAATAAAGTTGTTCCAGTCAAAACACCAGGCTTGATTCCTTTATCTCTTGCTTCCACTTTACAATTAAATATAGTTCCTGATGAAATTCCCACCAGTGCTGGAGACTGTTTGAGTTTAACCGAGCCATCACCTACAGAAATTGGAATCCAAATACATGTGAATGAGGTTGATACTGAATGAGACACAGGTTCGCCAGCCGTTTGACCAATCGTACCTTAGTCTCAGAAACGGAAATCTTGTAGCTAAGATAATCAGTAATACTATTGGAAAGTTAAATTGACGACTCATCTTTTCTTGATACTACACCATATGTAGAAAATACAAACTCACCTAGCACGCTTACAAACTGTTCCCCACCGTTGTTGCAGCTTTTAAGATAGTATTCCACGGCACCATTAGTCGCTTCTGTTATATCATCATCAGTTGCTACCACTTTACCAAGGTCTTTTCCCACAGCATCACCAGGGTAGATAGGTGCTCCCGTGTAAGCTGGTTCCTCAAACTCCGGGGCATGGTTGTTATAATCCCAGATATCTATTTTTACATCAGCTTCCACCTCCTCTCCCGCTCTATCCGTAAGTTTCATTTTTAGATCCATACTGTTCGGTTTGGAGTCCGGTTTGTCTAGGAGATATTCTCCAATTAATTGAATGTGACACTTTGCGTGATCAACTACCTGCAAAGGATACGTTAAGTTTAAAAAATTTATTGAGTGAAAAAAGAAAAAAAGGGAACTCATCTAGCTAATAATTTGGGGCTGGGCTGGGCTGACCCCTTCTACCAACTGTTCCCATATACAGCTTTGTCCACAGAAATAACTGGAAAAGTATCACTTGCGTATACAGTCCCAAAGGCCTGAGAGCAGCAGTAGATATTCACAGACCATAAAAGAAGCATGCCATGACTCTCGGAGATGCCAATAAACTACTAAAGATCACTAACAGACAGGCAGGGATCTCCACACCAATGTTCAGCCAATCGTTCCTCACCCTAACAATATTTCCTCAGCCCTCCCCTGCTTACAGGACATTGAAAAACTGTCCAAGTCTTACCTTAAACTGCTCAGAGCCTGTACCAGTCAACTCCAGAGTGAGTTTATCGGCTGTATCAGGATCTGTTCCCTGACATCCCAGATCAATGATACCTGTTTCAACCTAGAATTAGAAAGAAAGATCCATAACGTCTTAGGTTCTCAAGAATCCTCTCTACCAGCTGATCCTTTGATTAACCTCTGATCTGTACCGATTTACAGTTGGGTCAACAGCTTGAGAAAGACTAAGGCAAAAAAGCCATATTTTACAAAAATGCCCCCCTAGGTTCTCCTGGTTTTCCAGCCGATCCAAAGCCAAAACTATGGCATTGTTCTTTCCCAGATTATCTGTATCTATTTACAGCTGGTTCAACTGGGATACTACAGAAAAAATCCATATTTTACAAAGATGCCACCCTAATTTCTCCTGGATTTGTCTACCAGATGATCCTTGCCCAGACCTCTGGCATTGATCTTTCCTGGATTATCATAGGATTGTTGTTGCACCACGAAGGTGCCACCAATTACCCCACGAGCCGTGCAAAATAGATCCATAAGATCCACAAAAACCCATACCTGTGATATGTTGGCATAATATTTATCTCCATTCAAAAATTCTGGTGGTTCGTTGAGATCTTTGACATTGATGGTCAGAACTTGGGATGATTCCATAAGGCAGCCATCTTGGGCTCTGATTGTAAACTTATACTGGTTGTTGGTTGGGTCTTTCTCGTGATTCAGCTCTTGGCCCTTAGCAACGCTGATTTTCACACCTGAAATGGAAATCAAGAACTTAAGAGCTTAATTAAGGCGTTAACCAAGACACTTCTTCCATTGGGAATTGAAGACCATCAACCACAAGCAGTACAGTTTGACCGTGATCTGACCATCTGATAGGCGATTAAGTGCCATCGGTTAGAAAAATTCTGATGCATGTGCCAGTGCTCCCGATTTCGGATGTCATCCCCTGGTACCCAGTCTCCAAGGTAAGTGAACAAGACCCACACTGAACCAACTTGCTGTAATCTTAAATTCAGATCTTCCTCCTGCGATTACATTGAAAAAAAAAACACTTACTCTTGTCTGTTTGAACGATGGTAAAAAAATCCTTATCTGCTGAAGGATCCACATCCCAGGAAATGCCAATAGGGTCGGAGCAGGATACCAGATCTTCTAATTCAACAGTGTAGAGCTCCCGGTCAGCTCCTTCAGGTTTCAAAGATTCATCAACATCAACAGTGGTGGGCAGATTCGTAAACTTTGGTGGCTCATTTAAATCTAGAAATAGAATATACCGTCCAAAATTGATGGCTAACGGCGGACTAGGGTCATAGTTTATAGAAGCAATTGCTAATAACTAGATTAGATGGTGGCAGACCAAGGCCCTGCTCGGTCCCCTCAACTAATGTTTCCCACAAACACCACTGTTGAAAGAAGGACAGGTTACTTACTTTCCATCGTGACTATAATGGTACAGGTGACTGTATTTTGTTTGGCGTCGGCAACAGCGATAATAAGTTCGCGAACTGGTTCTCTGTCGATGTACCGTAAATCTCCGGTCGTTGTGATCTTACCATCAACTAAAATACAAAAATATGGAAGTTCAAAGGGGTATTGAGACAAAATTGAATCCAATCTAGTTCAGGAAAGGATAGTCGTAAGTACTAATCATCTCCAGCATGTACTTTACCCTCGTACATGTCGCATCAGGTGTTCCAGAACAGCGAGTATGCCTGTACCACATCGACCCAGCGTTATAAATACTTACATTTTCCAACAGTGAAGGCTTGTTGAGATCCTGGAGGTGGACCATTCTCCAGAGTATAGGTGATAGCATCGTTCTCGTCGTCGGTCGTGGAGATAACATATACACTTCCACCTTGCTTGTGGTACTTATCGTCGGCAACATCTACTTTCGCTGAACCTGGAAGGACAATTTTGTTCATAATAAGTGGTTTAGGACTCTCGGTTTCATCCAAACCACTCTGAACAACTAGACTCTGAAGCGATAACAGTAAGCACCACACAGGGCTCGAATTATTGTTCTATCTGAACAACTAGACTCTGAAGCGTTATCAGTAAGCACAATTCGAGGCTTCAGTTAACTGTACCATCCGAACCATTAGCCTCTTAGAACTTCAGTTTATTGAATGGAAAGACTCGGAAGCAGTATCAACAAGCATGGGGTCTTATCTTTAATCCTTCCACTCACCAGAAGGGAAACAGTTTGGTTCTGGATCGTGGTTCTTCTCAATGTCAATCTGTAAGGATTTCTGGTCCCGTCCACCACCTACTGTGTCCCGACACTCAATCTGAGCCAAATAACTGCTGACGTCCCGATAAACCAATGGTCGTTTGAATGTGTATCTCACTTTCTTGCCTAGAAAACAAAACGAAATAAACACCATAAAAGACTTCCAAAGCAATCCCATATCGTCATTTATACAGCGCTCCATTGAACTCTTTGATGGATCATTTGAGCTATACAGTTCTACTGTAACAAAAAAGTTACTGGAAGTCTTTTTGAGGCACGGGTCCCAGTTGCTTCCTTAGTAATATATGGCTGCTTCATCTCCATTTTCAGAGGATCATATGACCTACCTTCTACTTTAAAAGCATCCGTGTTCGGCGTTATGGAGAAGAGTTCACACTCTACATCATCTCCATCGGGGTCTGTTACATCTATAGTGGACCCAGCTACGTCCATGGGTCCAGTTCTGTCCTCTTTGATGCTGACCACAGTGTCCAGGTTGTTGATGGTTGGTTTCTCATTCTGCAATAATTCAATACCAAATACAAAATCTATCGACAGACAGGAGGTCTGAAGGTCCCTCAATTTGATCCAAATGCAGGTAAAGGTGCTTCTTTTGGATTCTTGTTCAGTTGTGGTCTCAACCCGTGTTCTAGGTCATCAAAAGGCTCAACCAATCAAAAGCTCCGTTCAATAAAGGATTTCCACAGATTACGTGTGAGGCATTCTGGGATATTTGATTGGTTACGCAGCACCCAATCTACTGATAATTCTGCACTGCTAAATCAAGGGCAATAACTCAGTAACCTACCCATTTGAAGATGACCGGAGCTGTAATACTTTTAGTGCCGGGGTTGACACCTGTATCTGTGGCCTTGACCTTCACAGGGAATGTATTGCCATACTGCCCAACCAGCGACTTCATCAGGGTGAACTTCCCATCTGGTGTGACGTCAAAGAAGTCGTTGGGTTCGTCCAGACTGTAGACTATATTCTTATTGATGTCATCTTTATCTAAATAAATAAATGAACAATTTCTTTGATTCCAGTTGACCAAGTTGGAAATGGGTACAGATAATCCGGCAAAGATCAATGCCAAGAGGTTTGGTCAAGGACCAGCTGGTAGACAGGATCCTCATTATTTTAGTCAACCCAGGTGTAAAAGGGTACAGATAATCTGTGAAAGATCAATGCCAAGAAGTGTGGCCAAGGACCAGCTGGTAGAAAGGATCCTCAAAGTTATAAAGTAAGCTGTTATCTTGTAAAATATGGAAGCGCCTCTTTTTTATCCGTCTTGAGAGCTATAAATGGGCGAGTTTTACATCCTATGGATCAACTAAACCAGTACCTTCATCAGTAGCTGTAATAGATCCAAGGACTTCTCCAAGACCCATATTTTCAGCTAGCGTATACTCATAAACATTAGGGTCGAAAACCGGCGTCTTGTCGTTGATATCTCTGATATTGATGTCCAACTTGGTGGTCTCTTCGGCTCCTTCGCTGTCAGTCACTTTCACGGTCAGCTGTATGGTTTCTGGAGCTCCAGCAGCATCCACGTCAATTTCTTTGACGTTCGTGATGATCCCAGTGTCAGGATCGATGTCAAACAGGACAGATTCAGGGGAACTCTCTAAGGAATAAGCGTACGTTTGGCCTGCCGACATCTCTTCATCTGTGAAGGAAAATTCGGCGTTGATGGTAACAGTGCCAGGCTGGAAAAATAACAGAACCATCATATTGGCAGGAGCAAGATGGCACAGAAAAAACCAGGGACGGACTTGGGATGGTTGCTTTCTAAAATTTGCGGATCCTTGACAAGGAATTACATAGGTGACTTCAAGTACAAAATTGGGTGGACAGATGGACTTCATTGCTTTGGTTTCTGACTGAATCATTGAGGTCACCAGCCATCAGGGTTCTAGTTCCTCGGAAAGAGTTCCTCACGCCAAAAGAGTCAAGAGACAAGATTAGATTAGAGTTAATCTTAAACTGTTAACAAGATACTTCAACAGGACAGCCTTCTTTTCAAAGGAGCAAATTATATGAGATCTCTAAACCAGAGCAAAAAAAGCCATCTTACCATGCCTTCATCAATGGTAGATGTGTACAATGGCTTCTTAAAAACCGGTCTGTCATTGGTATCAGTGATCATCATGGTCAGGGTGGAGGTCGCCGATTGGTAGCTGTCTGTAGCTGTACAGATAAACTTGTAGGTCTGATGTGATCCCTCGAAATCGAATTCCTTTCCTGGAGCTAACTTGATGGTTTTTACTATGGGAAAGAAAAATTTGGATAATTTTCTACATGCCGGGACAATACCACCAGATTTGGGTAATTTCACACCAGAAGATCAGACCATGTTAAAATATTTGGACCATCTTTCAGAACATATAGACGGACAAAGGAGGAGTCATGAAAACACTGGCTGAGGTTTTGTACCATCACTTATTCCCCTGGGACAACTCATCAAGATTTCTGCAATCTTATAATTCGAGATCCTGATGCTTTCTGTTTCTCCAAAACACTGTTGACTGTTGAGAAGTGATTTATAAGACCCGGACTAAAGAGGAGTCTTGAATTTGGATGATGATGAAGGTGCAGATTATCAAGGGCTAGTTGAAAAGAACTCGTTAACCTTTGTGAACTCCAAGAGTATTATAACAACCATCATTCTTACTTACATTTGGGATCGATTTCAAACATGTTGGCTTCAGAGATGGGATCCACATCACAGGCAATGGTTGTGTTATCAGCATCAATCACTGCGAAAGTATGGACTACAGAGTCCTTGGCAGTGTCTTCAGGAAGAGAAACTGTTTGATCTTCTTTACTGAACACTGGTGCCTTGTTCAAATCTGCAAAAGAACGAGAAATATATATCTAGAGATGTAACCATTGTGCGTTTCAACCGTGTTTCACTTTAGTAGGTAAATCTCGTATTAGGTTATGGCCTCCTCATACCCTTGATACAGCATTTGACTTACCAGTGACAGTTATATATATGGTACACGGGATTTTAACAGGGTTTCCAGAACTATCAAAGTGTTTCTGATCATCTATTTCCAATGTCCATGTATAGCTAGATTCTTTTTCTATTCTTAAATCTTTACGAACTTGGATCGATCTGGAAGCTACCAAAGAAAAAATGTATTAAGAGTCAATCCACTTCAATAGAGATGGTGGTCCAATGGAGCAGCAGCTCGCATCATGCTGTCAAAGTCTCTAAGTCTATGACCCTGATCTCCTAAAGAGTCCAAAGACCAACTTCTCTTAGCTTGCCATGAAAAGGAGTTCAAGGACCCCTCTTCTCTAAGCATGCCATGAAAAGGAGCTCAAGGAGCACTCAGAGTCCATGACACTGCTCTGCAAAGGAGCTCAAGGACCATACTTCTCTCAGCCTAAGATCCCACTCTGAAAAGGAGCTTAAGGACCACACTTACCAGCATCATAACCATAAAAACCATTATCTGGAACTGAGGTGAAAGTGATGATTAACGGATCGTCTTCCTGATCCACAACACCTATATCATAGACCTTTGTATTGATAGCACTATTCAGAGCACTGACCGTCTGAGAATCTAAAAATAGATTAAAATTAGACTTGGGATTAAAGCTATCATGACAAAGAAAATAAATTGTTTATGGGAAAATAAGCAAACAACTAGGTGCTCTTTATTCAGAGCAGCCTTTTTCAGAGCACCCAACGGCTGAGAATCTAAAAATAGATTAAAATTAGACTTGGGATTAAAGCTATCATGACAAAAAAATGGAAATTTTTAATGGAAAACGATATGCTTTAGAAAATGAAAAATAAGCAAGCAACAGGGTTGTCTTTACTCAGAGCAGCATCATCAGAGCACTCAATGTCTTGGAAGAACTATCTTTGTAAAAAGACCAGAAGATCTTACCTATGGGATTACAAGTAGCCTCTGGAAGTTTATTAGGAGTGACTCGGACATTCAGGGAACTATTGGCAGATCCACCATTTCCATCATCACAAGTCACAAAAATATCGAACATTGGCACCTTTCCCTGATTAAATTTATAGCTACCAGAGTAACGAATGGTAAACTCTGCAAATAAAATTCAAAATTATTTCTAACCAAATTTATCATGTATATTTGTCAGGATCCACTGGTGGACAAAGCTGACGCAATGGTCATTGGCTTTTAAGCTCCAAAACTCATTTTCTGACAAGGTTTGTTTGGTTGGTCAGCTCAACATTCCTTTTGGAGAGTCCACTAGTACGTATGTTACATATTGAGTCCAAAAAATTACCTTCAGCTCCAGATTTTTTCACCACATTAAAAGCACCATCAGTTTCTCCTGCAGGTGCATCAGAAACGATGTTATCAACTTTGCAATTGACGGAATCATTTTCAGGATCAGTGGTAGTAAAAACGAACAAGTCTCTGGCTTCAGTCTGATCCTCTGCTATGGTGACAAATTCTGGGAGAAGGTTGATTACTGGAGCTTTATTCTAGATAAAAAAAAACAAAACTATTTGGAATGGATCCTTGGAGGAACGGATCCGTTGCTTCACATGATGGGCTGATGAAGACCAGCAGAACAGAGCAGAGGAGCAACGTGAGAGACATTTCGAATCCAACTGTTGAAGAACATTTAATGTCCACAGGGTATCAATTTTTTCCAACACGACCAACATAATGGTTGAACAAGACTTAAAGAAGATTGTCATAAGATCATAGATGTCAAGTTCAGTTGAACTTTTGATAGAAAAGAAACAAAAGATAGATCCATATTCAAATCAGATTGGAAGAAGTCCTACCCAGACACCAGAAATGGTGGTAGTACCAATGAGTGTTGTTGGAGTTCCTGCATCCTCAGCTACGATCTCGGCAGTCAGAATGGATCCATAAGGTACATTAATCTTCGACTTCAATATAACATCTCCACTCGGCAATACCTCAAAATACTCAGAGGTCCCTGAAACAAAATTGCTCAAAATTGAAGCAAACAGTACATCCCATGGCTGAAGATGGAAATAGACACGATGTACAAGATCAGAACCCACAACTACTCTTTACAAAGATTACTATGAGGATCCTGTCAACCAGCTGGTCCTGGGCCAAACCTCCAGGTCTACTGATCAGATGAGTAAAGATGACTTTTTCAGGTCGCCAGGCTTTTACACTCAGGCCATTATTGGAACCCACGACCACCATTTGTGAACATATATACCATACCTTTAAGCCTGTAAGATATTTCAGCATTGGTTGTGGAATCTAAATCTGTGGCTTTAACTGTAGTTAACTTGGTACTGCCTGGTGTGGATCTGAAATTGGAATCGTGTTTCTATTAATAGTAACATGGAGTCCATAATACTGTGTTGCTATTAATAGTAACATGGAGACCATAATGCTGCCTTGCTATTAATAGTAACATGGAGACCACAAATCTCTGTTGCTATTAATAGTAACAAGGAGTCAATAATGCTGCCTTGCTATTAATAGTAACATGGATTCCATAATGCTGTGTTACTATTAATAGTAACATGGAGACCAAACATTGTGTAACTCTCTAGTGGAATAGCTCTGTCATTTGCGAGTTGGATTCTTCTCAAGCTAGGAAAAATCCTGATACCACGGCCAGTATTTCCGAAAGTCAACCCAGTTTCCTCCAAGTTTCCCCCAACCTCCCAGACTAAGCCAAAAGCTTTGAAACTTACAAAGAAATATTAAAATCATAAAGCTGCTGCTCAAAAATGGGCTTATTGTCATTGGCATCCTTAATGGTAACGTAAACTGTCGCTTCAGCATCTCCACTTGTGTCATCTTTCACTTTAACAGTGACTGGTATAGGATTGGCAGCTAAATTTTCAAAATCAATTTCTGCCACGTTGGTGATGGTCCCCATTTCTGCATTGGTTATTTGGAAGATGGCTGGACCTGTATTGACTATTTCGTAGGAGACGTCGTTGCCTTCTGGGTCAGTGACTTGATAAGCTGGAGTAAAGGTGATGTCACCAGCCTGAAAAAAAATGAAATGAATGGAACGTCCTACTCTTTTGCGCCTACTTGGGCTGATGAAGACAAGGAAAACCATGAGGGAAATTCTGAGGAGAGAAAGAGATAACATAAATGGTCAATCTTGGAAAAAACCTCAAACCACCTACCACTCCTTCCTCCACTTCTTCTGGATAAGATGTCACTGTAAACACCGGCGGATCATTCTCGTTCACCACTTCAATCTTAATGGGGAAATCTGCCTGTTTGAAGCCATCATTTACCGTTATTGTAACATTGTAGGCTTTCTGTTTCTCATAATCTAATTTTTCATTGTCGGAAATTTTAATGGCACACTCTGAAATATTTAAAGATCACAATATTTTCTTGAAGAATATTTTCATCTAAAATTCCAGTCAGGTGGTAAATGGGAAGGGATAATCTGGGAAAGTTCAATGCCAAGCGGTTTGATCAAGGATCAGCTGGTGGACAGGATCCTCATTATTCCAGTCTAGCAGTAAATGGGTACAGATAATCCAGTAAAGATCAGTACCAAGTGGTTTGGTCAAGGACCAGCTGGTAGACAGGATCCTCAGGATCTAATCAACTAGGCAGTAAATGGGAATTATCAGTATCAGGAGGTTTGGCCAAGGACCAGCTGGTCAAAGGATGTTTGCAAAAGGAACAACACCAGCATCACTGGTTCTTCAAAATGATCATTAGGGACTCCTGGTAGAACACTTCATTGAGCTTAAGACACTGAAAATCAAGACATACTTGTGGAGTCAAATACCAGAGCGTTGTTGGGAGGATTAAAGATGGCGGAGAAGGTCAGACCATCTCCATACACAGTGTCATCTTGAACGTTACATTTATAGATCTCCTCCCCTTTCTCTGTATTCTCAGCTGCATTTATATCTGCTAAATTGGTGATCACTGGTGCAATATTCAAATCTGAAAAATGAACCATAGAAATGAAATGAATGGAGATTTAAGTCCTACCTTTCTGCAGCTGATTAAGCTAATGGAGACAAAGCCATTTAGTGTGCAATGAGGGAAATTTTGTCAGGATAGCAGCATTAACCTACTCTTTATCGATTTCCAACTGTCGAAGGATCTTTAACGTGCTCAGCCTGTAGCACATGTGAACCTAGATGTAATGTGCCACCTGAATGACTCCACCTGACAGTTCCTCCAACCAGCATCACTGCCAGGGCGAACCAAGTGCATGCCCTCCTTCCATCAGGAAGGGACCATCTTGGCGTTGACTTCCCCAATTTCATGTGATGCAAAACCAGGCAAGAATTACATATTGCCTCTACTTGACCAACCACCTAATGATCCTAGAAAAGCCATAATCCCTCAATGGTCCACGTGACACTTGGCCCCTACCCAACCCCATGAATTATTGATGAGAAACACCACTGTATCTGAATGTTTCCCTGAGTAAACGCATCAGAAGCTCTCTACACATTTAAGAATCATATTAAAATCTTACTTGTCATTGTTAAGGTGACCATTGTAGTAGATTTGAGCCGACCATCTGAAATTTCCACTTCCATTGTCACTGATGGATTGTTGGAGAAGCGAAGGTCTTGACTGGACCAGATACTACCATCATCTGAATTGGGAAAGACCAATCAACTTACTGAATGTTATTTGTGGGATCCCAATTAGTTGAAATGTCTCAACTCAATTTCCTTCGAAATTATCAAAATACTTCTAAAAATAGATACTCCAAATTATGTCCACGGAATATGCCACTATTTCCTGAATGGGACATCCTGAACTCTCATCCGAAATCGGAGACGAATAATGTTATGTTACCAAGATGAAACTGAAGAACAACTTATAAATAGAAAATAGGACCACCTTACCTGCACCCAAAGTGAAGCCAGCATCAGCAGGGTCTTGAGACAGAACTGTGAAGATCAGGGGGTCGCCATCGGGATCTGTGGCATTGATGGTGTACAGTGGACTCCCTGATGACGTGGTGGCAACATCTACCACTTCTCCAACTGCAAACAGAAAACAATGAGAACATTTGATAAAACTGGTACCACATAAATCCTCTGGTCCACAAACCCTCGACTTAAATGTTTGGCTCTATCTCAAGGCAGCCCAAAAGCTCCCCACCAAGAACTTCAGATATTTTTAAAGAATGTTTCCCCCAGTGATGCAGAATGGAGGCCTGACATGGAAATAGCAGCAGAAGGATGGGATAATAAACTGAAGCAAACGTGCTACAGACTGTGCAATGACCTTCTTCGCTAGTCTTATCCTGGGTAATAAAAAGTAGGACGTAAAACTCCATTCCAGTTATTCATTTAAAGGGAGGTTACCTGATTTGGGAACAGAGGGTGCGTTATTCAATTGGACATCAATCTTGACTTTTTTAGTATCGGCAACACCTTCATCATTGGTACACTTAACATCCAGTAGATAGGATTTTTCGTCCAAAGACCTGCTCTGATCATATATATAGTATACACAGTAATCTAAAAATAGATATACAACATACCAATTAGCCATGTGGACTCTCTGAAAACGTCAAAGGAAGCAATATACAAAATACCATTATTAGCCATGTGGACTCTCTAAGATTGAAGCAATAAGTTATACCAAAGATCTATAGTAAACATGGATTCATTTCAATTGAGTTTACGAAGACTGGTAACACCATGAAGTGTGGGTTTTCTCAGACCAGTTCCCCTGCATGATAGTTGAACAGAAATCTGCAGACGTAAAAAAAACATACCAGCGGCGCCATTTCTCTTGGTGACAGCGAACTTTAGATCGACGGTGGTCAATTCACAAAGAAATCCTCCCGCACCAGTATTGGTTACGTTCAAAGTTTTAAGACATATGTCCACATCTTGTTTCTCCTTTACAGTAGTGGTATCTGGCAGGTTGTTGATGGTGATGGTGCTGGGCTAAAAATAGAGTTGAAAGACCATTAAAGATGGTTTTCCTTATTTTTTAGAGTCAAATGAAGCAAACTATTTGATTAATTGGTGTTTCTAATGAATTATCATGTATTCTTAATCAGATCATTTTGTTCTTACTGCATATAATTAAGAGTTTTAACCAATCATAAATGTCCACGTATGTACAGTCTGGATAAACAAAAAAAGACTTTTTGATCTTTCTTGATCGGTCACTCATTGGAATTCTGCTGGTAATTCTCTTCTAATATGTTATTATTTAATGAAGACATAATATACTATGCAGTGTACAATGAGCGAAAGTAAGGCAAGAAATTAATTATGTTTTCTAGCGTTCAATGCAGTGCGCAGTAAGGGAAAATATTCAACTCAATAGGTTTCAGAAAATTTTGGAGGACTAGTCCCTTTAAGCAGCCATTTTTAAAGGTAGACTGGTCTATAGGACAGTTACTAAGATATACTACAATCTGAGCCCGGAATGCAGGTCTTTTTATTGTGACTATTGTATTAAATATACCAATATATAGTCAATGGTAAACACTGTACTATCTTGTACCAGCACATGTATTAAACCATATCAAAATGAAATGACATGGAGTTTTACACCCTACTTTTTTTGCCTTTTTAACATTTAAACCCCCCTTTTTGATTTTGAATAGTCAAAAATATTTTAAAAATAATTAAAGAAAGATTTATTATATAAAAAATAAATAAATAAATAAATAAATAAATAAATAAATAAATAAATAAATAAATAAATAAATAAATAAATAAATAAATAAATAAATAAATAAATAAATAAATAAATAAATAAATAAATAAAATTAAATATAATTAAATTAATTAAATAAATAAATAAATAAATAAATAAAAAAAAAACTTTACAAAACTAGCGGAATCTCTCCACAGATTTTAAAACGTTAAAATTCGTTTTATTCATGGACAAAAAAAAAAAACTAGCCCCCGAAAGATTACGAAAACATTTCTGCCCTTACCGCATATATGCCATTCACTAATAAGCACAAAATTATGAGATTCAGAACCATTTTAAAACACTTTAACACTAGTATGTCAGTTTTACATTTTGAAGGTCAATTGACTTATTTTGCCAAATATTAGGTAATTGCTTTGCACTATGTTTAACAAGGGACACGCTAGGCCAAAACAAAAAAAGAATGGTTTTAAAATAACAGTTGTAAAATCAAATTTCAACCCATTTAAGGGATTGTAAAGAGGTTTTCTACATTTTTTATGTGTATCAGGGACACTAATAGCATTAATTTACACCATTCCAAAACAAGTGGTGCATACTTCCCCTTTAAGTAGAACTCAAAATACATGACTGGCCTTATATGGACAAATCGAAAGCCCTAATAAACACAAAATGAATTTTCGTTGGCCTTGGCTAGAAAATATCAATACTTGATATTGTTTGGAAAGCTAACAATACGTATGACAAAATCATTCTTTTGTAATTTCTTTATTTATGAAGCTTTTAGGCGAGGTCAATTCATCAAAATTCTGCTATTGCCATTTCATAATCTACAATCCAATATTGTAAAAAAAATTGTTTTATTTAAGAAGCTTTTAAGAGAAATGAATTGATTGAAATTCTATTAAATGAGTCACCCTAATGTACAGTTTTTTTTTCTTTGACAAGCTTTTAAGCGAGGTAAATTGAAATTTATATTTAAATTAAGGTAATCAGTCTAAGTCAATGAGTTACAGCAGATTAGTAAGCCTTAAAGCGAGGTAAATTCACTCACTACAAGCTCTACTTCCATATATAAATAATATTATCTAGTAAGCCTTTAGGCGAGGTAATTAAACTCACCACATGTTCAACTTCAATTTCTATATCATATGGTTTAGAAAGGAAGCCATCATCTACATTAATTTGGACAGTGTAGGTCTTCTGGACCTCGTCTTTCAGCTTACCAGACACCTTTATTTCACAAGCTGAAATACAAACGAAATGGAATTGGAATTGGAATTGGAATAGGAATTGGAAATGGAAATGGAAATGGAAATGGAAAGGAACGAAACGAAACGAAACGAAGATGTATAGCTTAAATTTTGGCACCAATATCTTCCAGTGGACCACCTGCAGATCTTACTTCAAAGGATGAAAAGATACACCAATGAAACGAAATGGGGTTATACATCGAAGAGTTTTGGTAAGACTATTCTGGTCACAATATGCAGTATGGAGTGAGGGAAAAAATCTGGGCTCTGGAAAAGGTCAAGTCTGCATCTCAGGGGGATGATTCAAAAGTTGGTCCACAAAAATATAGATGACGAACCTGCAGCATCAAACTCTAAGTCTGTTGTGGCAGGATTGAAGGTAGCTGATGTGGTGGGTGGATCATTGCTTCCTGGTGTAGGATCATCCACAACACATTTATACACGCTATGCCCTGCTGCTACATCTTCCTTCACTTTGATGGGAGCACTTGGTGCATTAGTGATGGTTGGTTCAGTGTTCAAATCTTCAATGGAGAGCAAAGGATAAGCAGTTGTCCATAAGAAGTGACTTGGAAGATTGGTGTAAGTGGCCTTCTCTGTATGGACTACAAACTATGGTAAGTGGTGAAATACTTGTAATGGTAAGTATTGGATGTTAACTTACTTAGTATATGACATCTAATGGTAACAAATCATTGTAAGTATTGGATGTTAATGGTATCTTACTTGTTATGGTAACTTACTTTTAATGATAACTTACTTGTTATCGTAAGTACGGGACTTTGATGGTAACTTAGGTGTTAACTTACTTTTAAGGGTATTTGACACAAATACTTACTTGTAATGGTAACTAAAGGATGTTTAATGGTAACTTACTTGTATAAGTAATTATCAACTGGAAAGGAACTGGTGAAGTATAAGAATCTGTGACTGTGATATCCAATGTTTCTGTGGAAGTGGTCACTGATTTGAGATCTTTGGTTGTTTTAACACTTCCATCATCTGGACAAAAATAAAATGAATTTTACTTCAGAAGTCAGTGGATTGAAAATTCCAGTTGTGCTGGGCACAATGGTAGTTCTCATCCAGTGATGGTTGGACACACTTGGTAAGTCTTTTGGGGAATAGCTTAGTTCCTAATGGAATTGAAAGTGCAGCATCGGACCACTGTGCTGCACCCAAAGGCTTGAAACCCTCAAGGTCCAGGTGTAGCTATTGGATGAACACTTGCATCCTTTTCTGTTCTTGATCCAAAGATGAAACTGGCTGTTACTTACTAGTTCCAATGATGAAATGGGTAGCTGGAGAGATTAAGGTGTAGGTCAAGGAATCAGAATCACTGTCTGTTGCAGACAGGGTATAGACTAGAGTTCCTGGAGATGCTGTTGCTACATCAACTGTTGTGGACACTGAAAAAGATGGGTGAGTAAGTTACACCTGATACCACTTTTCATTATGAAATACTTACTAACTTATAATTGATATACTTCCTCATATGAGCGGTTGTGACAGACAGGGTATGCTTACTCTTCTAGACACCTTATACCACTTTTCATTATGAAATACTTACTCACTTATGATCTTATGATTGATATACTTCCTACATATGAAAACTTCATTAGCTGCTACCAATGTTTGGCCAATATGTTGTTTGGATTTCGAGTTTTTTTTATGGTTCTGATCATTAGTACTTGGTTTATTTATAGCACAGTAGGTTGACTGCTACCAATGCCCAATCCAATCCCATGACTAGTAACTTACCTGTAGGAGAGATCTGAGGAGGTTCATTTTTCTTGGGATCTACTGTGAGAAGTTTGCTGTCTGTTTCAGATAAACTATTGGTACACTCTACGGTAACACTCTCACTAGCACTGAATGGTCCTGGACCTCCGATATAATTTATACAGTATTCTGAAACACAGGCAGAGGTATGGATAAAGAAATGGAATCTGATGAACTACCGGTATTGAATTAATACATGTGGACAAAAATTAAATTAAATTAAATTAAATTAAATTAAATTAAATTAAATTAAATTAAATTAAATTAAATTAAATTAAATTAAATTAAATTAATGAATTAATAAATAAATAAATAAATAAATAAATAAATAAAAAATAAATAAATGAATAATTAATTAAAATAAATAATTAAAAAAACCCCAAATAACACAGATTAAATTAAAAATAAATAAATAAAAAAAAAACAATAAATAAGTTAGCTTACTGTCATTAGGAGTGGGGTCTCTGGCTATAGAAAATTTACTATTGGTGGGATTCAAGGCACACGAATAGCCAGTACTGTTATCAGCACTATCTGTGACGTCTAACTTGTGGACACAGATATTGGCCGTTTCATATTCATTTACTGTTGCACTAGTTGGTAGACTGTCTATAGTAATCTGAAATTTAAAGATAGCCACGTGAACTCTCTTAATAATATTCTAAAGCAAAAGAAAGATTATGTACTATCTAAAATTAATTTTGAATTGTAAATATAGTAAAACAGAATGTAAATATAGAGTATTTGAAAATGTAAATATTATTTCATAATGTAAATATACAGTATTGTCAGAATGTAAATATTGTAGTATTTCAGTATGTAAATATAGAGTATTTCAGTATGTAAATATAGAGTATTTCAGTATGTAAATATAGAGTATTTCAGTATGTAAATATAGAGTATTTGAAAATGTAAATATAGTATTAAGAATGTAAATATTCAGAATATAAATACAGAGTACTTCAGAATGTAAATACAGTATTTTACAATGTAAATATTCAGAATATATTATGTTAAGTGTTTAAAAGACACAATATAAAATGAAATCAAATGGAGTTTTACATCCTACTCTTTGCCCCAGATTGAGCTAATAAATCAGAAAAGATAACAAATATTTATCCATGACAGAATTTAAAAATCCTTACCTGTCCCTTCACAAGAACCAAATTAAAAAACAGCAGGACCAAAAAGGTCCTTGTGTTGGTCACCATAGTCCTTAGAACTCTTTATAATTTGGTCCTAAAGTATCCTCAAAAAGTGGTGAAAGTGTCCTGCACTTTTTCACCCTCGAAATTTCGAAAAACCCGAAAACAAGGCAGTCCAAATAATTTTTCTTTTTTACGTATGACGGTTTTCACGTCTGTTATGAAATGTCTGACAAATATATTGCTAGCTAATTTGTATTTAATGGTCTGGCCTCTAAAGGGTTAACAATGGCAGCCATTTTGTTTTTGTATCTAGTGTTTTTGTTCTTCTTACAAAACATTTATTAATAAAGACATTCTTTCTGGATATGTTTTGGACTCTTAAGAAAGGATTGGCTTTGTTGGGATCTCGGTGATTGATTTGACTGTAATGTAACCAAAATATACCAAAATAAACCTTATGAATTATGTCGTACCATGCAGGGTACGGGGTACAGGGAACAGTGGTGTCAAGGAGGAGTCCTGAAGAAGGTGGAGACGAAGGGTTTAGGTTTCCACATCATTGTAGCCTACATAGTGAAAGAGTTGCCTTTAAGCCCACTTTTCACAATGCTGTGCTAGCAATCAAAAAAGGATTTCCCCAAAGGCACTGACCTAGGATGGAGCAGAAACTTCACTTAGAAATGGGAGAAGAAGTCTCTTCACTCCAAATTTCTAAGGATCCTCAAGACCAATTTTTAAAGAAAAGGAACATTCATTAAAAATAATTTATTGTCACCATTTCCAAATTAAAAGCAATGATCAAAAATCCATACATGATTTCCACTAATTCCACCATATCCTAAGGATATCCTAACTCGTGAATAACGAGAACTATGATTGGTCAACAAGTGAACATAACAATATTATGACCAATCATAATTGTTTAAGCCACAGCATCTCATTGGTTCTTAGAGATTTCTATCTTCTGCTTGACCAATGAAGACATTGTTACTAGAAACACTTAAATCACAGTTTGATTTCTAACAAATGCAACAAATGTCCATTTCAATGAAAGTCTTGTCAGTTCCAGGAATTTTGGCACCAGTCAGTTGATAGGAGAAACGTTGATATGCCGCCTGGACACTACATCTTCATTCTCTGTTGAAGAGAAATAGAAAATCATTATCATATGATAAATAATGAAGATTATGATAAATGATGAAGATTATGATAAATGATGATGGGTATGATGAATGATGAATGATGATGATGAAAACTATGATAAATGATGAAGGCTCTTAAATGATGAATGCTATGATAACTGATGAAGGCTATGGTAAATGATAAAAACTCTGATAAATGATTAAGACTATGATGAAAACTGTATGATAAATGATGAAAACCATGATAAATAATGAAGACTATGATGAAAACTGTGATAAATGATGAAGACTGCATGATAAATGATGAAGACTATGATAAATGATGAAGACTGCATGATAAATGATGAAGACCATGATAAATAATGAAGACTCTGATGAAAACTGAGATAAATGATAAAGACTATAATAAATGATGAAGACTATGATAAATGATGAAGACTATGATAAATGATGAAGACTATGATAAATGATGAAGACTATGATAAATGATGAAGACTATGATAAATGATGATGACTGATAAACGATGGAGACTATGATAAATTATGTAAATTGTATGATAAATGATGAAGACTTTGATAAATGACGAAGACTGTATGATAAATGATGAAGAATAGGCCTATAATAAATGATGAAGACTATGATAAATGATGAAGACAATGATAAATGATTAAATGACTTACTTTCTTGAAAATATTCATGCGATTTTCTCTCAGTGCTTGGTTTAAAATTAACACTGAAAATAAAAAGATAACAATATGAAATGAAATGAAATGAATGGAGTTTTACGTCCTACTCCTCTGCACCTTAAGGGCTAGCGAATATGTATGGAGCTCAAAGCACAGTGCAGTTGTTGATCACGTGACTTCTGCAGCTACATTGAATTGTAACCAAACTGTTGGTCATGATTTCATTCTGAAAAGAGCTCCAGGTAGTATTTGTATTTGTACTGGTCCATACCCACATCATAATTGAAAAGAACTTACTTCATTGGGTCAGTTTCAATCTTAAATGGGCTCATCGTTCGGGCATCATCATCAGGGTAAGGAGGTCTATTTGGTATCTGGTTGTTGGGTCCAGGAGGATACCCATTGGGTCCAGGTGGATACCTATTATGTCCCTGAGGTCTATTGCCTCGTTTGGCCATATTTTTGTCCCGTTTCCTTCTTGTTTGTCTTTTTTCTCGTGGATGATTCCTGTTTTCTGATCTCTCAAATTCTCTAGGATGTTGCCGTCTCTCTGGGTCTCTTTGGTAGTATGGCGGACTAGGTCTGAAATACACAGATCTCAAAAAATCTAGCTGTCCATCTACCAATTCTTGGGAAAAAGGACAAGAGTCAGCTTGTAGTCGACTCTAGAAAAACCATTCTGATGAAAAATCGAATCTGGGCATTTTGATTCCCATTCATTCTGCTGGTGACTCTACTTGCCACATGGTCTGGAATGTTACTCAGTAGAAGATGAACTCTAGAAAATCCTATGTGCTGCAACACCAAATCTTGATGCTTACAGGATTGTGGTTGGACAAGACACATTAATTGTAGGTACCATGAGTTTGTATCCATACTTACGGTCGTCTGGGGAAAGGTGGCAGCTGCTTGGCACAGCACAGTCGATGGATGACGAACATGACCATAATCAGAAGAACCAGCCCAAGTAGTCCTACCAGGACTAACCATGGAATGTTGTCTGGGTTAGTGAAGAATTCCAGCTCATCGGTCGGGATGGGTAAATATGGTGTGGTCTCTCCTGTGAAGACTGGCGTGGTATCCGTACTAACTAGTGAAGGAGTTGTGGAGGGCTCTGGACAAGCTAAGACTATCAAAGTCACTGTTGCCGGTGCTGAGGATGTCAATGGGTTTACTCCATGATCGATTGCTCTCACCTGGAAGAAAAGACCCTCATGATTTGAAATCAACAGAAAAAAGGGATCATTAGACTGGTAGTCTACGCCAATCATCTTTAGATCTTCTGGACCAGCATCACTAGAGCTAAATTGACCGACAGTCCAAGGCAAGATCCTCAGGGGTAAATCAAACCTCGAGCTGCAGTCTTTAGAGAGTCTTTCTGCCAACAAAACTAGTCATTTGTGTTCATGGTACAATAGCTTTGTGTGTCTTGTTTTTAATGGATTAATAATTCAAAATTACCTCCACAAAGTGACCGCCTATGGCAGGATTGGCCTCCATAAAAATCATACCATTTCTAGTGACAGTTAAGGGTCCAGTTGTACCACCAATAAACTCAAACTCTCCATTGGTGCCTAAAAAACAGATTTTGGAAAACATGAATGTCTGAAGAAATGACCATGAAGCATTGGCATCAGCATCCAAAAAGTTCCTGACTTACCAAGATCAGAATCGAAAGCCTGAAGAGTACTAAGCAAAAGAGTTTCAGAGGGCTCCTGATATACAATACAATACAAGTCCAGAACATGGACAGTACCTTGGAGCATTGGCATCAGCATCACAAAGCTCCTGACTTACCAATATCAGAATCGAATGCCTGGACAGTACCAAGCTTCTGTAGTCCATCACAATCCATTTTGTTATAGGAATAGCTACCAGGTCCCAGGATGATCGGTTTGTTGTCATTGGCTTCTCTCACAGTCACTTTAATGTTGGTGGTTACTGAGGCTTGTCCATCAGATACCTTGCAAATACATATATAGTGGAGTGACAGAATGGGGTATCTTTAGGAAGATGCTTGGAAAGAGATCACCTAACTCTTTTGGAGCTGCTGCTTGATTATGAGTTTTGATGAGTTTGGAAAGATGTTTTGGATGTTCTTGCTTCCAGAGATCTTCTACTCTCGATTTTGCCATACTTTGGACGAGACTTAACAGAATTATCTTACTTCTACAGATTTTTCATTTTTATCACCTAGCCCTTGGTAGCAAATCAAAAAGGCACATAAGAAAGTTTCAACAGTTGGCCAATTGACTTGTATCAGAAAGTTTGGGAAGATGCTTTTGGCACTTCTGTTACCCAATGAAGCACTCGTGTACAAAATGGAAGTTATGGTCTCATGATCAAAATTACCTGAACATTCAAATCATAGGATTTTGTGTTCAAATTAAGAACATCCAGGTCTATTATACCCAGGGAAGTGATGACGCCACTTAAAGGGTTGATACTGAACTGTCCATTGGGTGCGGTGAAGGAAAATATCATGGTCTGGCCCTGGTCCTCATCTACTGCTATGAAACCTGGATCAATGCTGATCTGAAAGAGAATGATTGGGTGATAAATTTAGCTCCACCCCTATATATATGATTGACATTATACATTGGGGCTCCTCCCATTACTAAGAAATGCAAAAGAATAATTGATTGTTAAAATTATGCCCCTCCCAGATTGTAGATGATTGACATCTAAAGTGGGAGGAGCAATTTCATTCAAGATACTCATTCCAATAAGTAGGCAGGATATAAGCCACTCCCATATAGCTTACCATTCCTTCATCCACAACAAAAGCATTTTGATTGACAGTTAAAGTGGGAGGGTCATTTTGATTGAAAACATTTATTCCAATCCAATTTCGACCAATACAGAAACCATCTTGGACCTCTACTGTTACATTGATGAAGGCCACATCTTCAAAATTAAGTGCCTTCGTTAAGAACAGGTCATTTCCTAAAAATGAAAGATATCTTTTGATGAAAAATCTTCAAATTCAAACTCATCCCTGCCTCACATCTGGTAGGTCATGTTATAAAATTTGACACTGAAGCATTGCATTTTAATGAAGAGCTTAAAGTTTAGATGTAATTCATTGGAAGACAAGAGGTTAGGCACAGAAGCCAACACTTTATCCAGCAAAGAAAGGGTGCGCATTATATAAGCCTGCGCATTGTATTCCAAATTATACTGTATTTGAACTTAATTTAAATTTTTGCCCAAACCATTAAGTGAGTGCTTCTAAAGTTCAAGCTATGTCTATGACCAAAAGACATGGGAGATACCAAAGTCCTGAATGCACCAAAACCTACCATCCGTCCCCTGAACACTAAAATGGTCAGTATAGGTTGTTGGTACAGCCAGTAAGTTGTAGGTTACTGGGGTAACACTGGGCGCCAAAGTTCTGATAATTACTGGCACCGCCTGCAACTCTACTATAGTAATCACAGTATCTATGTTACTGACGCTTGGCGCCACAGCTACATCTGGAAGAAAAGAATGAAGGAGTGAGAAAATAATAGAATGAATGAATGAGTGAATTTAAGAATGAATGAATGAATAAATGAATGAATGAATGAATGAATAAAGGAATGAATGAAAAATAAAAGAATGAATGAAAAATAAAAGAATGAATAAGTGAATGAATGAATGAATGAATAAAGGAATGAATGAATGAATGAATGAATGAATGAATGAATGAATGAATGAATGAATGAATGAATGAATGAATGAATGCATGAAAACTAAAAGAATAAAAATTCCCCCAAAAATATTGAATTAGTGCTTGGGCAGTATGCAATGAGGTATATTCAATCGAGAACAGACATGTATTGGTGCACACTAATGCCCGACTGACAAAAAAGTAAGTTTCTTCCAAATAACCACAAATTTGCTGGAACCACAAAAAAAAGAAAAGACTCAAAGACACAAAAGTACCTGCAAAATTCAATTCGATACGTTTTGGCCCACCTATAGTGTTAGCGTTATCACGCACGGTAACTTGTAACTCTGTTGAGGACACGGAGCATACGCTCTTCATGTCCTTAGTTACACGGATTTGACCATCTCCTGAAAAGAAGGAAAAAAAAGTCCATATTTGGTTGTCAATAAGGGTGCTTCATTATCAAGCTCATTCATAAGGGTGGTATCAGGTGTTTTGAAGGGTATTTTTTGTTGGTACCCCCAAATGGGTAGTAGCACCCTAATAATCTTTGACAGTGGCGTAAATCTGGACAAGGCTATTTATAGAGGCACTGCGTTGACAAGCTCAGTCACAAAAGTGGTATCAGGTGTTTTTGAAGGGTATTTTTTGTTGGTACCCCTAAATGGGTACAAGCACATCAAGTATGGAAACAGACCACCCAAATTTTGTTATCAGTATAGACTATTCGATATAGGTCCTGCAGTGAAAAGTGGCATCAGGTGTTTACCTTCTCCAATAGTGAGAATTCCCTCATCTGGAGTGGCACTCATAGAGTAAGTAAGAACATCTTGGTCTGAGGCTGGACTGATGATGTCTATGTCTCTAGCGTTCGCTAGGAAAATACTGTCGCCCGAAACAAAGTTCTTCGTGTTGGTTATCGTTCCTGATTCTACAAATACAAAATAAAAATTGCTTTTGGAGTAGGTGAGCAAATACAAATGTTACTCTTACAAATACAAATGTTACTCTTACAAATACAAATGGTAACTCGTGAGGATACAAATGGTAACTGTTGGCAAATACAAATTGAAACTCTTGACAAATACAAATGCCCTGAACTCACCAAAAATAGAGGTAAAATAAGGCGGAGTGTTTGGATTCAGTCTGATTTCAATGATGGCAGTTGACGTTGTTGTGTCATCACGACATTGTGTATTGATTCTGTAAGTTGATGCGGTCAAATAACTCAAAGATGACGATTGAGAGTGAACATAATATAAACAATAATCTGAAAATAAATAAATAAATAAATAAATAAAAATAAATAAAAATAAATTAAATAAATAAATAAATAAATAAATAAATAAATAAATAAATAAATAAATAAATAAATAAATAAATAAATAAATAAATAAATAAATAAATAAATAAAAAAAATTGAAATAATAATAAATTAAAAGCTAGAAAGAACAATCCCTTTAACATAAACTTACTTGGGGGAGCAAGGGCATTGGCTTTGTTCCACAAACCAAAACATCTCTGACCACAGGGTGTTGAGGGTGTTACTGACAGTATCTTGAGATCGTAGGGAGTGCCGGGAGTGGTGGGGGTACAAGTGATACAAGCTATTTCTGTTTCTCGTATCGTCCCCTCAAATAATGTGAAGACTAGAGGTTGGTTGTCTATGTTTGGTACCTAAAATTAAATGATTTTCAAGGACGTTTTAGGATTAAATTCAAGGACTATTCAGATTAAATTCAAGGACTATTCAAATGAAATCCAAGGACTTTTTAAATGAAATTCAAGGACTTTTTAAACGTGAAATTCAAGGACTTTTTTTTAAACGTGAAATTCAAGGACTTTCTTAAATGAAATTCAAGGACTTTGTAAAAAATGAAATTCAAGGACTTTTTAAACGTGAAATTCAAGGACTTTCTTTTTAAATGAAATTCAAGGCCTTTTAGGATTTAATTCAGGGCCTTTTTTTTAATGAAATTTGAGGACTTTATAAATGAAATTCAAGGACTTTTTAAATGAAATTCAAGGACTTTATAAATGAAATTCAAGGACTTTTCAAAATACTTACACATTTTAAAGGTACTATGCCTAAATACAAAATAAACCAAATATACCAGACATGTTTCTTCTTATTTATCATTTTCTGTTAAATAAAAAATGTTGTCATGTCAAGATTTCAACACTCTAAGCAACTGTGCTATAGCCAGTCCTCAATCATAACCATAAAAACAAGCTTGATCTCAATTGCATTACAGAACGAATATCTTTAACACAAATAATAAAAAAGTCCTGTAAAAATACACAGAACCCAATAACAGAACAGAAAAAATGCAGTAATCGAGAAAAAGACAATCAACTTACCTAACAGGAGACTTATTCCTTACTTCACATTTTGAAAATTCTCAAATTTTTCAAACATTTTCGTTTAAGGATTGAAAATCTGGGTCACAAAGCCAAAATACTTGGTTATATTTTGAGTAAACGTAATCCAAACCAGCGTAAGTGTTCAAGGGCCTATTATTATACATATCCATACAATATAAACACAATAAAACAACTTTTGTATTCAACTCAATACATTTTATATATCCACAAGGCTTTAAAGGGGCTAGATCTGCAAATCTCATTCTATACAGTCACTTAAAGGGATTGTAAAAAGGTTTTGTAAATTTTTTATGTGTATCGGAGTCATTGATAGCATCAATTTACACCATTCCAATTATCAATCAGACGTCTACTAAAACTAAGTGTTTGATGACGTCACTAATTGCAGCCTTGATGATAAAGCCTATTTGTGATGAGTGACGTCATAGAACACTTAGTTTTAGTGGAATTGCAGGAACCACAGACATCTGATTGAAAATTGAAAAGGTGTAAATTGATGCTATCAGTGACTCCGATAAACATAAAAAATAAGGGAAAACAAAAAAAAACCAGAAAATATCCCATGAAAGTTTTAGTTTTAAGTTATTGAGTACATAATATTTTGCAAGTGGAACTCTTCATTGTAAAGGTTAAAAAAGTATGTTGATGTTATCTGGCAGTTACTATGACAGGCGAAGGTAGAGCTAACCGATTTGGTTCTATAATAATATCTTCTTCTAAATAATCTAAAAAAATAAACAACAACAAATAAACAAAACAAAACAAAAACAAACATAAATAAAAACAAATTTTAAAAATTAAATAAATAAATAAATAATAAAGAAAAGAAAAACCATAAATTGTCAAAAAATTTGAGAAAAATGGCAGTTAGCTGCGTTCAAAACCATGTTGGACTTACGTTCTTTCCAAAAGTCATAAAGCTCTCCTTCATCTTCTGTATATGCTTCTCTACAGAAAAATATAAATAATATTAATAATAAGAGCTAGGACTGCAGGTAAAGTGGCTACAGGGGCACGGGAGGGAAATTCCCAACCGAAAAAATGGATTCCCCCTGAATATCTGACAACCAACCAATTTCATTACTGGAAGAATACACCATGCTCCATTGCCCCTCCAGATATATTTCTTGTCCCTCTCCCCCTTCTTCTTTTTCTTTTTGGTAAAAAAGGCATTTGTGTAAATCCTTAGGAAAATCGTCAAGAAGAAGCATTAAAGATGGACTTACTTCATTGGCGTGCTTGGTGCCACTTTATTTTTCTGAGACATTGGTGTGGACACTCTAAAATTCGCATAAATTAAAAAATTACATCAATGAACATTAACCACAGTTTCCAAACGACAAGATGTCCTGATGAGGGTTGTGTATCTGAAACACCTCTCAGTGGCATAAGATGAGCTATAGACAATAAGATATGAGTTGAGAGATTGTGTATAGTAGAATATTCCCAATGTCAACTTATCTCTCTCCTGATCAGTGAATTTCCTTAATTAGCACAGAATGTAAAAAAAATCTCATTGCTCACTGCAAGGAGTTGTATTTCTCCTTTCTCCATTCTTGCTATTACAATGGGAAGATTTCAATTCAAACGTACCTTTCTGTATCGCAGCATCTTCGACAGCAACGACATCTGGATCCACTACTGCAACCATTGGAGCAGCAACATTTATAGAGAAGATAGGCCAGCAGACCCAACAGCAAAGCTCCTAAGATAGATCCTAGAAAACAAAATTAAAATACTTCAACAACCGGAATCCTGGAATCCCATCTTCATCAGCCCAAACTGGAGCAGAAAAAAAAGGAACAAACCTAAAGCAATCCATAGATTTGTCCAATCAAAGCTGGTATCAGCTGACACTGGAGCAGAAGTGGCAACATTCTGGATGCTATTTTGGCTATTACTGTTACTGTTACTGCTGGCAGCTGCTTGTTGTACTACCACTTTCTTGGTAGTAGGAACTGGCGTGGTGGTACAGGGAGTCACTAGCAGGTTCACTGTCACTGATGTAGCACTGATCAATGGACCTGGATTGATCCCTTGATCTTTGGCAAACACCTGGAAAGAGTCCAAAAAAACCAATTGGAGCTCCAGGTGAGTTGGTGGTAAGAAGAGGTGAAAGCTGACTCTAGCTGAATCTTGGAAACACAGGATGTTCTTATATCGAAGAGGATTGACTAAAGATTTCTGAGCAGTTTACAATGAGGGAAATTCAATACTTACATTAACACTATAGAAACCAGCATTTGGGGTGGAGGTCAAAAATACTTGGCCAGCCTTGGTTACCATCAAAGGGCCAGAACTCTGGGGTATATACTCGACGTCTTCATTGATGCTTCCTCGTCTGTCATCATCAGTTGGGCTCGGTAGAGTTATCCCCAAGTCAGCCGGAGGACTGCAGGTCATGGCGTCTGCCGTGTAGCTCTTGGAGGTCACCTCTGGAGCATTGTCATTTATTTCATCAACGTTCAAGGTAACGGCAGCTTCACTATAGTTGCCTCCCTTGTCTGTAGCTCTGATCATCAAGTTCACGACAGCTTTATTCGTTGTACTATCTCTGTCATATTCCCCTATAGAGGAGATCACTCCAGTGGAGGGATCGATGGTGAACTGGGTGTTCTTGCCTACCAAGGAATAGACTGGATTGTCCAGACGGTCTTCGTCTTTGATTTGAGGGGTGGGATCAAATGTTATCTGAAACAAAGAAAAAATTTTAAATATAAATAATGGCTTTCTTCCCTTTAACACTTTTCAAAATGAAAATCTGGCAACTGGTTCATCTACAATAAAATCAAAAAAGAGATACTTACCAATCCTTCATCAACATTTCCCAAAGGCTCACCGAGGTTCAAAGTTACTGGGTCATTCTCATCGGTTACTTTGATTTTGATCCAAGATGGCTGCCCAGGGCAGTAGCCGTCTGTAGGGTAGACAGTGATGTTAAAATTCTGCTGGATTTCATAATTCAAATCATGTAAAAGCATCAAATCTGAAAAAAGATAGCTTGCTAGACAGGATAATATACCAACATGATCATCTTTTTATGTGGTAATTTAACAAAATTACCACAATTTTTCATGGTTATTTACCACCATTTATCATGGTCATTTACCACCATTTATCATGGTTATTTATCACCATTTATCATGGTTATTTACCACGATTTATTATGGTTATTTACCACGATTTATCTTGGTTATTTACCACTATCTTTGATGATAATTTACCACCGTTTGTTATGATTATTTACCACCATTTTTCATGGTTATTTACCACGATTTATCATGGTTATTTACCACCATTTTTCATGGTTATTTACCACCATTTTTCATGGTTATTTACGACATTTTTTCATGGTTATTTACGACATTTTTTCATGGTTATTTACGACATTTTTTCATGGTTATTTACCACCATTTTTCATGGTAAATATAATGGTAAATTTAACCAAACTCACCATCATTTTTCATGGCGAAGTAAGCTGAATATTCTGATGGTGTGGTGACAAGGGTATACTGAAGCTGGTTGTTTAAGATGAACTCATCATCATGCTCAATGGTATACAGGGTGTCCTTTTTATCAGCCAGAGCATGTTCTCCAACCAGGATCTCCCTGTTCATATTGGTCAGACTGGGCGGCTGGTTGATGTCTAAAAATAGAATGAAATTGGAGCTTACTTGTGACTGTCCTGTACCTTACTGACCTAATACAAAATAGACACCTGCAGTGTGCAATGAGGCTAAATTTACAAGCAATCTAGAAAGGGTACCTATGATTCTAACCCTGTGGTGGACACAGATTGCTAATCAATTGAATGGTGGACTCCCCAAAATCTCAGCTGCAAAATAAAGTCTTCGTGTATTACCGTCTAAATTGAGAGTCATTTTCATTGGCCCCTGAGGTTCATTGAATCCATCAGTCACCATGACTTCTAGCTCTGTTGATTGAACATCACATAATGTTGATAGGTCTTGATTGGCTTTGATTTCACCACTAACTGCAATCAAAAGTAGAAATTTCAACCACATATTTAATTGTAGTATAACTGTAAGCAAATACAACTTTTTAACTAACTTAATTTCAAATGAATAAATCAAATTTTCTAATGATCAAATCAAATGATCAAATCAAATCTTCTAATGATCAAATTAAATATTCAAATGCTTAAAATTAAATTTTCAAATGATCAAATTAAATATTCAAATGATCAAATTAAATATTCAAATGATCAAATTAAATATTCAAATGATCAAATTAAATACTCAAATGATCAAATTAAATATTCAAATGATCAAATTAAATTTTCAAATGATCAAATTAAATATTCTAATGATCAAATTATAGCCTACTTGGATCAATGGTGAAATATCCAGTGTCAGGTGATGATGTCATGGTGAATGTCAGGTTGTCACCAGGTGTCGCGTCACTGGCAGTCACCGAATATATCACATCATTCTTTACTTTAGACTGGCTGCTTGGCACGTTGACTGTGGCTGAAAGCAAGAATTGACAACAGATCATCTTATGCTGCTGTCACATGTTTCAGATACATGATCCTCATCAGGACAGCTAATTTCAAATATATCATAAAATTTCTTTATCACATAAAGGCCTTCACGATTAGTGACATCATCTAACACTTAGTTTTAGGTGAATTGCAGGAACCACAGACGTCTGATTGAAAATTAAAATGATGTAAATTGATGCTATCAGTGTTCCTGATGCACATAAAATTTTTAGAAAACCTCTTTACAATCCGTTTAAGCTTACCAACGTTCTGAGTGAACTGGGGTGGATAGTTCGGTTGAAGACGAACTGTCAAATCAGCTGATGTAGGTTCATCAACACCATCTGTACACTCTAGCTGTAGGGTCAATATGGGTGTTTCTGTGTAAGACAGCATCCCCTGTCCTGGTATAAAATGAACACAATAACCTGAAATGAACAAGAAATGATATGAACACGAATAAAATGAACAATTTAATGAAATAAACAAGCATTCAGAATCCCAATTCAGTTCCAAAGGTAATAAGAAACAGACCTACCTGTGGCCCCATCTTCCTTCCAAATGGCAAAAGATGAGAAACTAGAACTTGTATTATCAGGACGAATGGCAGCAATATGAACCTCTGTATTCAGGCCATCTGGATCAGTGCAGTCTATACATAGTAACTCAGTCTGAACCTTGGTGGACTCCAGCAGGTTCACATCCAAGGGTTGGTTCAGGATTTCTGGGCTTTTGGTACCCTCTGTGGTTGGCACCTGAAAAATGGTTGAAATTGTTTTTAAAACTCATTTTGCTGCCATTTTTCAGCCAGTTTTGATTGTTCAGAGGAGCAGTTCAGGTGGGGGTACAGACCCGTAGGTGCACGGGGGCAAAGGGGAGGGGTATATGTGTGGACAAATTGAAGTATTTTTTAAAGCTATACACAAATTTTGCATTTTGTTTACATTGACAACAATGGCTACTTCCGGTTTTGCATGCATTATGATGCGCGTGAATATGTCGAATGTTTAATTCTCAATAAACCAATTACTACTAAAGGGAAGCAATCAGTTTTTAAAATTCATATTACAGACCACATCAAAGTTAATGAAAATGAGATATAACCTTCCAATGAAGTAGTCCGGATTAAGGCTACATTTCCTACCGTAGTTGTAGTTGTAGTGGTCGCAGCCAATGTCGTACCCTCAGACGTAACAGATCCAGCATCAGTTGTGGCTGCTTGTGTATTTGCTGGAACCTTAAAATAATACAAAGAAGGGCTTAGTAATGTTACTTTTCGGACGTCATAAACTAGCATTACTTTGAAGTAAGTACCCAATAAGGTAAACTACAAAACCGTAGAATTAAGGTGCGCATAGACAGAATTAGGTGTGCGAAGAAAGGATTATCCATACAATAAATATTAACAGAAGCGAATAGACGGGTGTGCGTCGCACTGTTCACCACACAAGACACAACACCGTTCATCATTCCAGACACAATACCGTTCATCATTCCAGACACAACGCCGTTCATCATTCCAGACACAACACCGCTCACCATTCCAGACACAACACCGCTCACCATTCCAGACACAACACCGTTCATCATTCCGGACACAAAACCAGTACATTTTACCACTTACAGTTGTGGAGGAGAACGTAAGGTCGAACAGTAAAACGCACAAAATGAAGCTTTTCATGGTGGATCATGTATACGTCATACTAGCTTCCAGTCTCCTGTTCGGAGGTTCTTTATCCTAGTTTCAACCAGTTACAGGGTTATTGTTTGTTACAAAATTTCAGACTCCTGTTCGGGGGTTCCTTTCCCTCGTGAGCAATCACAACCAGTAACACAGTTATTTTATATTCCAAACTGGATTCCCAACTCCTGTTCGCAGGATCTCGGTCTTGTATTTTATCATAAGCTGTATTAGATCCGTCTGTAAGGCTTTTTGAATGAATGTTGTAATCAAAACCAAACCCATCATAGTTACAAGCATGGTACCCCATTTAAAGGGATTGGCTCTGTAATGTTTCCAAAAGCAGTCCAGGACGAAGCATGCTTTATTGGATTATTGCCCCTGTTCTTAGTTGTATGACGTGAAATGTAGACTTGACATAATAGCTGTTATCTGTGATTCGAAATATGGCAGTATGCCTCTGACTGAGACAGGGAACAGAGAGGCATCCAACCAACTTATTTCTGTTTTTTCACCATTCTTTGTCGACTGTTTGATTGGTGACAGATCTAACCACTTTAATTGTAACCTGATATTCATTTAAAAGGTTCAATTAGTGATTTTTCATCAATACAATCGACCGTATGATAAACCCTTATTTGTTTTCTATTTTAAAATGGGTATCTCTTTTGTACACGCTTTGTATATGTTAAACGCCTTTTGTCCCCGGACACGTTTCAACTATATAGTCGATCTATAGTAGAATAAAAAGTAAAGATGGATTCCCACTTATTTGTAATTTTTGAAAACAAAAGGTGACGTAAGGGTTCCCCACAATGAAAAATGAAGACCAGAAAAATCTTCATTAAGGTAAGCTAAATGGATATACCTCTGATTGTAAGACAGGACCATCTCACTTTGATGTATTGTAACTAATTGTAGACGAACCTAAAGTCAGATTTAAATCCTGAGAAGTTGTACTGTATTATTTTCTTGAGTCTGGTGGATTTATAAATGCTTTCCTTTTTATATTTTACTTGAGGCACATTCATTAAATCAAAAAGAAATTGTACGTGGCCACAGGATGTGTTTTGTTATTGAAAATTGATAAGTGGTCGCAATAGACAAGTTTTACTGTTCAGAGCGCCACCAACGGCCAATATTTATAGCTGTTCTTGGTGCAATGATAAGCCTCCTACTCTATTTTGAGGGGGCTGCTATATGCCTATGAAGCCCAACCAAAACTAAAATATCGATGCATAGGTTACATCATTAGAAAATTTAATGTACATCATATATAAATGGATATAAAAACAATCGTCTTGATTTCACAAGGGACCACGAGCCAGACAATATTCCACCTTTGATCCAGCACAAAAAGGAATATAGTTCTCCTGGATCAAAGGTTACAGAACGTCTACCTGACTCGAGACTAGTTCAAAACAAATCCACTACTTATATAACTATAATGTTAACAGATTTCAATCAAAATTTTCGCACTTGCTATTAGTCCGAAATATTCAGAACTTACTTCGTACAGTCTAATTAAACTTAAACCAAAATTTCGTTCCGTTTTTTATTAGTTTTTATTTTTAATATAGCCACTTCAATTAGGGTCTAACGACTGCCCTCTAAAACGTTCGTTAAATTAACCTTTTGACCTCATTGACATCCACTTTAACCATTCAAATTTCTACCCTCTCTCACGCTAGCATTTTGTCACAAAGAGTTTATCAGATTAGGTCAAAAGGTTAATTAATTAATTAAATTAAGGTTTAAATTGTTCAAGTGGGCTGTCGTTAGACCCTAACTGAAGTGGCTACATTAAAAATAAAAGCTAATAAAATTCTTTTACTTCGTAGTCAGGAAAATATCTGTACACGTACTTGGAAGATTCCAAAACATAAACAAGGGTGATCCACTTTTAGTACGTAGTGTTTAAAACTATATCTGGCTTGATTACGACCCCAAATTAAATTGAACTGTTCGATATTTGTCTACATCTATGGTCAGAATATTTCGGACTAACATAGGGAGATCCCCGTTTCCTTCATTGAAAAACAAACGACAATATAGAGCACGTAAGATTATTTACGTTTTAAGGAACTTGGGTCACGCAAATGTCGCAGATAAAACGTTCCTACCTTAATCCGTCAAACGTAACGGCGCTTGCTAGCGAACAGCAACAAATTCGTAAAACCGTCACAGGGAAGCACATGTTCAAACGACCAAACCATACACAAAACATTTTATAAGAGAGTATAGTAGTAGGTCAAGGGCATTATGCACATCCGGACAAGTCCATTTTGCTTAAGGGTAGAATGGGAAGTAATCGAAAGATTAAAAGTAACTTGCCGAGCAAAGATATTTATGCATTTTCGTGTCGATGCAAAGCTTAAACACGACAAGTCCATGTTATTTTTTAGGTAGAGTAAATAGTAGTAAATACAACGTAGACTGCATGTGTATATTTTTAATTGCTACTTGCGTTACCTATAAACAATATGGACTGTTCCGATCTAGATTAGAACTGTACAAGGCGGTGACGTGTTTTCTCTTATTTATATGTACATATATATAAAATATTTGACTAAATATATCAAAAAAAATATTCATATAAAAAGAGACTGGATGCTTTGGCTACATTGGTATATACAATAAACTCGATAGTCTCGATTATCACAATGCAATATAATCTTCCAAAAGCACTATACATTTCGTTTCGTTTAATTTCCTCGGGCTAATTCGCACATTCAAAGACATCTCCAAAAGATTCATTGACGTTTTAAGATCTAGAATTAGTGACTATTCCCAAAGAAAATAAATGAAACGAAATATCTCTAGCTGTATTTCAAACAGATCTAATAAATACTACAATCAGATCTTTGTCACCGGAAGTGACGAATGAAGTACTTTACAACCGGGAAATAGAATGAGTGGTGGTATGTTTGCCGGGGTTATCTTTGAAGTAGTCACGTGGTATCACGACAAAATTGTCATCATGCACTGAAAATATAAAAAGAAAAGATCCTGAGCGGCTTAGGACAACGGACAACACCATGCAGTGTTCCATGAGGGAAATTTTTCAATCATCCAGGCGTCTGGATTACATGGGGTTCCCAGGTTTAAGCGTTCATGTCTAGGAACCCCCGACGACTGTTTTGTTCCAGTTTTGACAATTAGTGGTTTTAAGCACTTCCGGTCATACATTTCAATGGCGGTTTAAGAACTTCCGGTTTATCACAAATACGTGTGACTGTTTTCATATATGATCATGGGACCATTAAACCCATAATTTGGTGAAGCTCGTGTGCAACGAACAACTAATTCTTGCCACTCTTGCGTAGACTGGAAACCACTTCCGGAAATGTACTTTTCTGCCGGAAGCCTTTGATTACTTACTCATATCCTTCATAGCTTCGTCAATTGGTTTAATATTTTTGTATGGACTTAAGATCAGTTTGTACACCAAAGCTGCTAAAACTCCGCCCAATATTGGTCCTACCCAGTAAATCTAAAAATAGAAACATCCATACTTGTTATACAACAGAGGTTCCAAATAACTGTCCATATTTGTTTGGAAAGTGGCTCAACTAATGGTCTGAAATGGTGGTTTCCAATAGTTGGAAGTCTACCCATCTCCTTAGAACCCTGAGCTTAAAGAAGTCGCTTACCCAATGGTTGTCCCAGGAGTTGGAAGCTACTGCTGAACCTAGACTTCTGGCGGGATTCATACTGGCACCAGTGAATGAAATCTACAAAAGAGAGAATCATAATGATACCACTACGGACCAATACAATAAAGGATTGAATTTGAATCGAATGGGACAATGCTCCTGTATTCTGAAGGAGCGGATGAGGAGGTTGGTACATTTGCCGCAACGTAAAGCGCACTGGGCATCGTACCATCGACCATTCTGAACTGTTTTGATGTGTCCACCATACACATCCCACCCCGTCCCCTTCAAATCTTAAACCTCGGGTATACTTACACTTGAAACGTGGCCTAACGTCACCGTTAAACCGATCAACAATGCTTGGCTGCCAAAGGCTGGTCTGTCCCCATCTGTAGTCCCGAATATCACAATTACCAGGACGAATGTTAAAATCAGCTCGATACCAAATCCCTGAGCTGAAGTTATGCCGGCGATGTCATTCACTCCAAGATTATCGTGGAACACGGACGGAGTAACCCTGCAAAGAAAAAATGGAGTCTTATGGCCTTTTCTGTACGTTATTGGGCTACGGAACTGAAATGGTGATAGGGGTTGAAAGCTGACACCAGACTGACTTTCGAAAGCACTGGCCAACTGATCGTGGGTAGGGTACGAATCGTTAAGTATATTGACTCGTTAGAGCATCATCAATAACTAATTACATCTGCAGGTTTGTTTCATTACGATATTGATATTTCAATAATCAGCATTCCGTTACCATAGCAACGTCCAAAAATACTCCATATTTGCAGATATGAGAAATTTTTCTATTTGTTTTTTTTTGTAAATTTAGGCGTTTAACAAGATGGAGCAGTTTCAAATGAATGTGTTATCTTTTCGGGAGTATAGGTGATTTGGTCACTGGAAATTTGGTCACAACGAATCGGCACAAGGCACATTGGTTACAAGTCACATTGGTCACAATTGCAAACCACCACAAACCAAATTGGTCACAAGTCACATTGGTCACAATTGCAAACGGTCACAAACCAAATAAGTTAAGTCACATTGGTCGTAGCAAAATGGTCACAAGTCACATCGGTCACAAGCCACACTGGTCACAAGTCACATCGGTCACAAGCCAAATTGGTCACACCACCACTTACCCTTTCAGTATAAAAGCTCCTACGATGGCACCGCCGGACTGCGCGAAGACATATAGTACAGCTCTGATAACTGAGCTCTTCATGGCAACTGTCATTGCCACTGTGACAGCAGGGTTAACGTGGCCACCACTCACGTGACCTATCATCTGTATCATGGCCATGATGGCCAAACCAAACGTAAAGGCTATCTGAAATGACATACAAAAACACCGTTACTCAAATATTTCATGAGGTGGGGGGGGGGGGGGGGGGTTCTTTGGTCGGCCTTAAGATGACAATTACGTGATATTTAATGGGTTACTGCCCTTGACCAAGTAAAATATCAAGTCTACTTGAACGTTTCCCTTTAACAACACGTTATATAATGAATAATTAATGAGTTACTGCCCTTGACTAGGTAACATTTTCAGTCTACGTGAACGCTTTCCTTTAACAACACGATATATAATGAATAATTAATGGGTTACTGCCCTTGACCAAGTAAAAAATGTATTGACTGTCTAACTGTAATAATATAGACATACAATGGTATTGAATTAATTTACACAGTCACAGTTCGAAGTGTCAATAATTCACAGACTAAATAGGTCGTTACCCTTTGACGATATAATTACTGTTACATATTGAACGTCGAATGGGTTCCCATTCAATGATAGTAACTTAAAGGAACATTTTCTACGTAAATCAACAAATATTTCAAAAAGCCACTTCAGTTAGGGTCTAACGATAGCCCTCTTGAGCGTTCATCAAATTAACCTTTTTACCTCGCCTAAAAAACACCATGTCACAAAAGGCCAGCGTTGAAGAGGGTAGAAATTTGATTGGTTAAAGCAGACGCTCTCGAGTTCGGTCAAAAGGTTAAATTGACGAACGTTCAAGAGGGCTGCCGTTAGACCCTAACTGAAGTGGCTATATCAAAAATAAAAGCTAATAAAACACGGAACGAAAGTTTGGTCTTATTAGACTGACAAAATTGGTTAATAGCCTTTCAAAATTATGAGAATAAGCGTACATCTGCCTTTAAAGAGGAAACGCGGGGTTAAAGAAAGGAAACAAGGTTAAAGACACGAGTAAATATGGGTCAATAGCTTCTTTTACAATTCTCAATAAGCCATAATCCCAGTTATTCAAATTTTTATACAACGTGGGCCTATATTGTATATGAATTGTGCTTGGCAAAATTGCTAAGTCATTCTCTGCCATAAAGTAAAGCCAAAATCTTCAGAAATAGCGCACCTGTCCCTTTAAAGAGATCGGTGAATTAAGTCGAATACAAGGACTCAAGTACCCATCAATGGAGTATTCATTGTGCTTATACAAGACATTCAACCTTGAATATAAAAAAATGATTCGTCATGCTTATAATTATTCTGCATTGTCTTTAGAAAACGTCTTGCTCTACTTTATTTTTTGGGGGTGAAGGGGAACTATGATCATGAAAGAAACAACTATATTTTACAAGTATAACAACTTAGGTTCACAATTAAGGATCCTTTCTACCAGCTGATCCTCTTGGTATTGATCTTTCACAGTTTATCTGTACCCATTTACAGCTAGGTCAACTGGAATAATGAGGATCCTTTCTACCAGCTGGTCCTTGACCAAACCTCTTAGCATTGATCATTGCCAGATTATCTGTACCCATTTACCGCTGGGACGACTGGAATTATGCGTGCAGATGACTTATTCTAGTCACACGCCGACCGAGATTACAACCCACGACCACTGCTTGTTCGACGTAACCAAGTAATGACGTCATATAAAGAACCAACGCTCAAAATATGAAATGACGTCACTTCCGGTGGTTACATAAATTCGTCTGTATTTAATTAAAGACGAACGTGACCATCCCAAATCGTTTTCAGTCTCATAAGCTTCTCAGCTATCTGAAATATTCCGATAAATTCGGGAAAACATTCTTGTCTCGTAGTGACCTTTATAAAAAATTCTTCAGTAGTTGGTAACTCGTTATACAATGTAAACACCAGTCTTTTGTACTGTTATCAGTAATATTTACAGGGCATTGTGATCCTTTTGGGAACGAAATGATTTCTGAATCGTAATGGGTCAAACGAAGACGAACAACTGTGCAATGAGGGAAAATTTGTCAAGTCATCTACAAACAATTCAGGGTTAACGCGATTGGTTAAAGTTTCTAAATATACGGAACGTTCCTTAACATAATCAAATGACTATTAATTTATGACGTCATCAATCCAATTTCCCACTGTCAAAACAAGCTGACAAATCGAAATCGAATGACAATTAAAGAAATTTCGAAAATCTACACATTACAAATAAAGCGAAAAATAACATGCGACATTAAAAAAAAAAAAACTCGAAAATAAATTAAAATTTCATATTCCTATTTCCCGATTAACCGAACTTTCGTTGCGTTGTTAAAATTGACAGAAAATTGCCAAATCCGACCTATTATTTCTCAAAAGTTTCGCTTTTTATTTATTACATTTTCAACGTTTTCGTGTGAAATCCTAGTCTTTGTATTTTGTGTACACAATATGAAAAGTAAAGGTGTCAAATGTGAACCTTGCCTTAAACCTATTCAAACAGCTATTCTGTATACGAATTTTCGGTCTTTATTCAGTATTTGTAGGGCTTAGACGGCAAAGTCATCGATGAATACATAAATATCCATAAATATTACATGCCAATTATTTGCTATGTCATAGCCATAATCGTGTTTATAGGGCGAAACTATTAATGGAATCATTCATATTTTCTAGCAAATAGAAAATAGAATTGAGGTTTATGTCCTTCTTTTCTGAACTTTATTAAGAATAGACGTTGTAACATTGCTTTGAAAACAATCTTACGAAAGCACAGGTACAGGCAGTATAAGTTCATAGTTTTAAAATACACAAAATTGTGCCTGGGCTTAAGCCATTGTCCCTTCAACATGCCCGAATCCATTACATACTTCTATCATGTTTCACTTTAGTCCGTAAACCTCGTATTGCCACGTGATTAACAAACAGCAAATCAATATTCTTCAACATACTGTTTGTTTTGTAAATTTTATCACACATACAAAACTCGCTAATATTATAGGAGTAAAATCCAACCCCTCTCGTATACAAAGGTCGTTTTGATTGATTATAATTCACTCCCTCGTACGAAACTATTTGGATAATGAGACCACTGTCCTATCTGTTAATTGAAAAAAGGACCCGAAGCTCTTTTTAAAAATAGACAATGGAATACATTGTGTAACACATCTAAAAAAAATAAAACGCAAATATTTGCAGTAAGATTTAAAACTTGTTTACAATCAAATATTGAATTAAAACCACAAAAAAACGATACAGCAATTTAGAAACGCATGCATTGAGTACAAATCAGAATTTAAAGGAAATCTTTCCTGTAATCATATTATATACAAAGGGAAAGTGCCAAGTAATAAAGCATAAATTGCTGACGTACAATATTGAAATCTCATGCGGACGTCTATGTGAACTCTCTTAAACCACAGTCCTTAAAGTAGCGCTTACTCGAGTGCATCTTCACAATGTCAAGGTATTACGAACATTATCGCTTATTTTTCGCACACTTTCCTTCAATCCAATCAAATCACTGCATTTACAAATCTCAATGATACAAGTAAGATGGTTGTTGCAGTCAAGGTATAAGACGAAGTTCGTAATAGCTTGACATTGTGAAGATGAGGATTTAGGAGTTTCGTAGCTTACTTTATTCGATCGGTTGGTACAAGGTAAATATAAAAAAAGTTGGACGCCACATCTGGTTTCTTCCATCGGCTGGTAGAGGGCAAATTTAGACCACAATAGATCTTAAGTATCTAAGTTATCTATATGATCATCAAGAAGTGACAAATAAATATTGAATTCCATGCCCAACCCTTTTAAATTAGTCTTCACTCAAGCAGGAAATATACAGTTTCTTCTTTTCGACAACCAATAATTGAAAAACGTCATGCTACAGTTTCAAATTCTATTTTATTGTTGTTTCACTAATGGTCCATTTATAAGGACGTATTTTAAAGGCAAGTGCCCTCCATTGCAGCAGAATTACAGGGAAAATGAAATGAAGTTTTATATCCTACTGTTCTGTATCTTATTGAGCTAATGAAATGAAATGGAGTTTTATATCCTACTGTTCTGTATCTTATTGAACTAATGAAATGAAATGAAGTTTATATCCTACTGTTCTGTATCTTATTGGACTAATGAAATGAAATAGAGTTTTATATCCTACTGTTCTGTATCTTATTGAACTAATGAAATGAAATGAAATGGAGTTTTATATCCTACTGTTCTGTATCTTATTAGACTAATGAAATGAAATGGAGTTTTATATCCTACTGTTCTGTATCTTATTGGACTAATGAAATGAAATAGAGTTTTATATCCTACTGCTCTGTATCTTATTGAGCTAATGAAATGAAATGAAATGGAGTTTTATATCCTACTGTTCTGTATCTTATTAGAACTAATGAAATGAAATGGAGTTTTATATCCTACTGTTCTGTATCTTATTGAACTAATGAAATGAAATGAAGTTTTATATCATACTTTTCTTCATCTTTCTAGAGCTAATGAAATGAAATGACGTTTTATATTCTACTGTTCATCTTTCTAGAGCTAATGAAATGAAATGGAGTTTTATATCCTACTGTTCTGTATCTTATTGGACTAATGAAATGAAATGACGTTTTATATCCTACTGTTCTGTATCTTATTGGACTAATGAAATGAAATGACGTTTTATATCCTACTATTCATCCTTTTAGAGCTAATGAAATGAAATGAAGTTTTATATTCTACTTGAGCTAATACGAGAGACAATTCCTTTAAAGTGTAATTAGATATTCAAGCATGTATTCTATTACAATATAGTTAATAATTTAGATAAATCATGAATTTCTTCACTCATTCTGAAAATCGCTGACAATTATTAGAAACTGGCGGCGTCTGTCTCCTTAAACTGGGGTACGATTTTGGGGCAGACTGACTTAATGAAGGGTCAACTGCACTGATTGCGATTTCAAATCAGGCAGCTCTTACGCGTTGATAGAAATAGGAAAAGAAATTCCTAGTTTGAGATATTTTTGAAGGAATTTTGTGATTTTCGTATATTTCTAGTAATTCTGAAGACTATTTACATATATTCAACACTCAAATCAACCTCCCAATATGGCGCATCTGTTCCT